TTCGGTGGCAAGCTAAATCTTTGTCCTCCCTTCCCGGACCCATCACTTTCTTAAGTCAGAGTCCCAGGCAAGAATCCCCCGCAGTTCTATTCTTTGCTTCCTTTCCCGGTGATGGAGTGCCACCCCTGTTGCTGCCTTCAGGCAAAAGCCTGGCTCAGGTTCCGTCTCTTTTGGAAAGTTTTAATCTCTGTTATCCGACAAAAGCCAAAGCTTCGGTGGCTGCTTGGATCCAGAGCTCAAGTATCCATGACTTCCGCCCTCTCCCCAGCTCGTATTTCTGCTCTGTGGTATTCAGCTGGTACGTGATCAGTCTGGAGGGTTCAGGACCGTGGTGGTGATGGCTGGAAGGATGGGCTCAGCTGGGAAAGTGCTGAGTCGTCACCACTGGACTGCCAGGGAATTCCCTCAGCTGGGATTCTTAACCTGAGTATGGACATGATGTCTCAGCGGTGTCAACATAGTCAGACTTCTTACATGACAGCTCAGGGCTGAGTGTTTCAAGAGGTGGAATGTGAAAGCTGATATGTTCTTAAGGCCTGGGCCGGGAAAAGGGCACAATGCCATCCTATTGATCAACGAATCACAAGCCTGCCCATATTCAAGGGGAGGAGACACAGACTCCACCTCTCTGTGGGAGGAGCATCAAAGAGACCACGTACTATGTCACTGTTGGAGGGTCTTCAACGACTTGGAGCACAGTGGTGTTAAAGATATATTGAACAAAAAAAAAAAAAAAAAAGATATATTGAACAAATGACTAGGCGAATGTGCAACCCACCTTAGAGCTAACTAGGTCTGTGTGTACTTCCTACATCCCTTCCTTGGGAAAAGAATGGGATTTCTGTATCAAATGGCACACTGCCAAACAGCTCTCCAGAAACGTACCTTTGGCAAATTTTTAACGTTATCATTATGCACTCAAATACAATGAATGCATTGCCCATTGGCCCAGGTAACTCCACACTCGCACAAAACAGACCAAACACCTTCCATACCAAAGCGGCCTCCAGGGGGCAGGAGGGAAGGAACAAAGGCGAGTTACAGCTCAGCCTGGGCTGGGAACTTGAACGACCAGGCAGTACAAGGCATGATCCAGGCAGCTCTGGGTTTGCAAAAGCTTGACCTACGAAGGACAACCTGGCCTTGCTGCTAATGCAGAACACATAAATACAGACAGTAGAAGAGGAGGATGTTTCCATGACCTGCAATGATAGTTAAAAAGTAGAGGTTCCTGGGTGAGTCGGGAAGCTACCCACCATTTATAGCTTTGTGTTTCTAAGAAAGTGCCTGTATACCCTGCTGTACACAGCTACCCTGAAGACCAACGGGGATGGGTAGCTCACTAACGTTTACTGAGCTCATTCTTTGTATCAAGCGCTATTCTAGGCACATTTTGTGAGTTCTCTCCTTTAATCCTGTCAATAATCCTCAGAGGTAGGTACTATGCTTATTCCATTTTTCAGATGAGGAAACAGGCACAGAGAGGTGAAGCCACTTGCCCAAGGTCACACAGTGAGTGAAGGGTGGCAGGAGCCAGGACCACCCAAGAATATCTCAGTCTGAAGCTCAGGTTTCTGAACACTACCCTTTCTGAGATTTAATACATTAGTGTGATCAAACCTTAGTGCTGGAAGGTCTAGGGACAGTCTCTAAATTCTTCACTCTTATGGCCCTATGCGTAGCACAAAGCCTTATGCATGGTGGGCTTCAAATAAATATTTATTGAAGGAATAAATGAATGAACATGACTCACTGATCTGAATATCACTCACTGATTCAGCCCATCAGCCTTGCACACTTTTTTCTCCATTAAAAAAAAAAAATTAGGGGGGCTTCCCTGGTGGCACAGTGGTTGAGAGTCTGCCTGCCGATGCAGGGGACACGGATTCGTGCCCCGGTCTGGGAAGATCCCACATGCCGCAGAGCGGCTGGGCCCGTGAGCCATGGCCACTGAGCCTGCGCGTCCGGAGCTTGTGCTCCGCAACGGGAGAAGCCACAACAGTGAGAGGCCCGCGTACCGCAAAAAAAAAAAAATTAGGTATAACTTCAATACAGTGAAAGTCACCCTTTAATGGACATTTTTGCAAGTTTTGACAAACATATATAGTCAATTGTATAACTATCACCACAAACAAGATATAGAATGATTCCATCATCCCCCCAAATTTCCCTGTGCTTCTTAGTAGTAAATCCTACACACACACACACACACACACACACACACACACACACACACACACACACACACCAACCTCACTCCTAGCCCCTGGCAACCACTGGTCTGTTTTTTGTTCCTATAGTTTTGCTTTTGTAAGAATGTCACGTAAAGGAAGTCATGCAGTCTGTAGTCTCTTGTGGTTGAGTGTATCAGTTGTTCATTCCTTTTGATTCCTGAGTAGTATTCCATTGTATGAATGTTCCACAATTTTTTTTATACAATCTACAGCTGAGGGACATTTGGGTGGTTTCCAGATTTCAGCTATTCCCAATGAAACTGCCGTAAAAATTCCTGTACAGGGTTTTGTGTGAATGTAACTTCTCGTTTCTCTAGCGTCAATACCTAGGAGAGGGTTGCAAGGTCACATGGCAAATGTATAGTTACCGCCATAAGAAGCTGCTAGATTGTTTTCCTAAATGGCTGCACTATTTTGTATTTTCATCAGCAATGTACAAGAATTCTAGTTGTTATAAATACTCATTAACACTCAAAACTGTCAAATTTTTATTCAATTTAATTAATTAAGTTACTTATCATTTTTGGCTGCGTTGAGTCTTCATTGCTGCGCGAGGGCTTTTCTCTAGTTGCGGCGAGTGGGGGCTACTCTTTGTTGCGGTGCGCGGGCTTCTCATTCTGGTGGCTTCTCTTGTTGCGGAGCATGGGTTCTATGCGCGTGGGCTTCAGTGGTTGTGGCACGCGGGCTCAGTAGTTGTGGCTCATGGGCCTGGTTGCTCTGCGGCATGTGGGATCTTTCCAGATCAGGGCTCGAACCCGTGTCCCCTGCATTGGCAGGCAGATTCTTAACCACTGCGCCACCAGGGGAGCCCTAAATTGTCAAAATTTTAAAACATTAACCATTTTAATAGGTGTGTGGAAATATCTCATTGATTTTAATTTGCATTTCCCTAATTACTAATGATGTTGAGCATCTTTTCATGTGCTTAGTTGCCATCTGTATATCTTCTCTGGTGAAGTGCGTCTGCTCCAATCTTTTGCCCATTTTTTAAAAAATGGCTTGTTTATCTTATTATTGACTTTTTAGAGTCCTTTATTTATATTTGGGACGCAAATCCGTTGTCTGAAATGTGTTTTGCAAATATTTTCTCCCAGACTGTGGTTTGCCTTTTCATTCAGTCTTTTAACAAGGTCTTTGGATGAGTGTTTTTTTAAAAAATATTTATTTATTTATTTGGCTGTGCCAGGTCTTAGCTGTGGCACGTGGGATGTTTGTTGCCATGTACTGGATCTTTGTTGTGGCGTGTGGGATCTTTTAGTTGCAGCATGCAGGATCTTTTAGTTGCGGCATGTGGGATCTAGTTCCCTGACCAGGGATCGAACCCCAGCCCCCTGCATTGGGAGCGTGGAGCCTTAACCACTGGACCACCAGGGAAGTCCCCGGATGAGTGTTCCTAATTTTGACGAAGTCCCATTTATCGATTTTCTTTTATGGATCATGGTCTTGGTATCGTATCTAAGAACTCTTTGCCTAACCCAAAGTCACAAAAAATTTCTGTTTGCTTCTAGAAGTTTCATATAATCATAGAATATGATTGCTGTATTAAATGGGATAACGTATGTAAAGCCCTTAGCTCAGGCCCTGGTGCTGAGTTAACAGTCACTAAACAGAGCCTAAGATGGACATTTGTCTATGGAATGTTTATAAGGGGTGGCCTCACACCCACCACATTTCCTCTGCACGGATCTGGTGTCCTGTCATCACAGGATGCGGCATGTTCTGTCATCACCAGGACAGCAAAGGCCCCTGCAGATAGACATCCTTATCCAACAGCCTCCTGGAACCAGTGGAGACATGAGGCCCTGGGGACTACAGGTCATGCTAAGAGCCAGACCTGGAAGGCAGTCATTCTCACTGCAGCGAGCACTCCTCCATCCAGCCTCGGTTTCCATGAAAGCTGGAGCTCTAGGCCAAGCAGTGATGGGGTGATGGGGATCAGGGTCTGTTTACTGAGCACCTACTGTGTGCCAGGCCCTTGGCTACAGCAGTGAACAAGTCAGACAAAATTCGCAGACTAGCAGAGGAGCACAATGAACAAATAACTACATAATTAATTAGTGGATTAAGGAAAAGGGTAGCGTGCTGGTGGGGTGGGGGTGAGGGTGTCTCATAAAGAATTGATTGCCGTTCCTAGGTCTCTGCCTCTGAGCCAGGTACCTCGGACCCCTCCAGGCTGGGGGTGGGGTTGCGCAGACTCGGGGACTCACGTGACGTCAGAGTAAAAACAGGGTGGAAAGGTCCTCCGGGGAGGTGGGGCTGTGCTTAGGAAGGCTCTGAGAGAAGGGTAATTCATTCGTGAATCGAATTCATTCGTGGTTCATTCATTCGAGAAGTCCTGCGGCACCTACTGTGTCCCAAGCACCCCATGAGGAATACAAACGCGGCCCCTGTCCGCTCACTATATTGGGGGCAGACAGAGCGACAGGAAACCAGCAAAAAAGTCACGAAGGTGGTTTCATCCAGGGCCGTAGGCTCGGAGCGGGTAGGGCGGCCCGGCAGACCCGCCACCCGGGGGCGGGGACAAGTCCTGCATTTACTGCACCCCCCCACTCCTTGTCCCCACTACTCAGCAAAGAGGTCACCAAGCCAGCGACGAGCGCGCCCTCCGCCGGCTCCGCAGCACCCGCGTCCCCGCGATCGAGGGCGCGCGCGGCCCGCCCGCCGGCGCCGCGCCCGCCTGCCCGGCGCCCTCGGCTTACGGCGCCCCCTCGCGGGAGCCCTCGGCCTCGCCGGTCGCGCGAGCAGGGGAGCGGGCGGGGGCGCCACGCACGCGCACGGGCTGGCGGAGCGCGCCGAGCGGCGTGCACCGCGCGGGTGCAGCCACGATGGAAGGAGGTGCGTACGGAGCGGGCAAAGCCGGGGGCGCCTTCGACCCCTACACCCTGGTCCGGCAGCCGCACACCATCCTGCGCGTCGTGTCCTGGGTAAGGACGTCTGGGTGGCCCGGCCAAGCAGGGGGTGGGGCGGGGTGGGGGCGCGGGCGAGGGCGGCGCGCCCGGACGGACCCCAACCCCACCGGGCCTGCTGCCCGGGTGCGGCCGCGGGTGGGGAGCCGGCCGGCCGGCGTCCTGGCGCCCGCCCCTCCCTCCTTCCCGGGCTCCGGGCGGGGGTCCTGGCCCTCGCGGGGGCGCCTGCTCCCCGACCCCTGGCTTCCCGGTGTCCCCACTTCTTACTCTCCCCCCCGCCCCCCCGTCGCGGTGACCTCCAGACCGCGACCTGGCGCCTCGTGGGTCGGGTTGCGCGCGGCCGCCTGGGCGGACCGGCGACCGTGGGGACGGAACCCTGGTTTCAGGTGGCCTTTATTCGGGGTTGGATCGGGGCGTGGATCGTTTCGCGGGGTGCACGCGCTCTTGCCATGGACGTTCAAGGAGGAGAGGGCAGGAAACCGGGTTTTTGTGGCTTAGCTGGGCTCGTGTGGAGCGACGCGCCGGGAGCCGGATACCTGGGCTCTCTCCCCGGGAACCGTCTTTCTGCAGCGTGACCTTGGGCTGGAAGCCACCCTAGAAATGTTCACGGAAAGTGAGGAGTTAAATTCCGAGGTGGGCAGCGTCACCTCCTCTAGCTTGCCTCAGTTTCCCGATTTGTAGCGAGGTGGGAGGAGCCTCCTTGAGACCTCCTTGGGCTTGGGTATTTCCTGAATTCGTGCAGACACCTGGATGCCTGAGGAGGGCCGTGGGCCGGCAGGGCGGGAGAGAGGTCCCCTGCCCACAGGGAAGAGCAGAGAAGCCCGTTCTGGACCTCCAGCCTGGCGAGGGCAGAATCCCTCAGTGCAGAGAGCTGAGTGGGGGTCCCTGTTCAAACCTGGGGTCGGGGAGAGGAGGATGGGACAGAGTCAGCACACGGGGAGGGGTTCACATGACCTGGCAGCACCCCAGGGAAAGGAGGCCTGCTGCTGTCTGGGGAGGGGTGTCTGGGGCTCCCTAGGGTTGCTGGCCATTGCCCAGACCCCCTCACTAGAGGGTCTTGCCTCTGCAGGCCTGGGGCCCCTTCCTGTGGGCCTAGATCAGAAAGGCCTGGATTGGGGACACTGGGCAGGGCCCCTGTCAGCCACCCCACCGGGCTAAGCCTAAAGCCAGCTGTGGGGTGCTCAAGCTCCCTCACTTCCTGGATTTTCAGGGCCATATAAGGGTGTGATGGGTGGGACAGCTGGGGTGTTTATCTCTGGCCTCCCAGAGGGAAAGGGATCTACCTTTCCTTTGTCTAAAAACGTTAAAACTTCCCTCTGGTGCCACAGGAAGGGTGGCCACGTTTAAACCCCTTCTTCTCAAGTGCCCACCAGATGGGGAGCTCTTTGAGGGCAGGGAAGCCCTGTTCTTTAGTCTTTGGGTCCCTGGTGCTGGCACATGGCCTGGCACCCTGGGTACATCCAGGAGGGTTTGTGGTGCTGAGTTCATTCATCCGTGTGTTGTCTCCAGCTCCCCAGAGACCCTGGCAGGTCCTTGGCAAAGGTAGAGCTCTGGGGGACACCTGCCTGATGAGGTGGGGTGGCTCTGTGCACTGCTCCCCTCCGCCGGCCCGAAGCGTGAAGTCACTGGCTTTGTGACGGGGTGTGGGCGTTTTGTCTGCTTGGGTCACTTCTGCTGGTGAAGGCTTCATTTAGCAAAGCTTTATTGAGTTGGCTAGGCTCCGAGGGAAGGCGGCGTGACTCAGACGCAGCCCTTAGTGCTCAGGGAGCCTACAGTCCCGCTGGGGAGTGAGCCAGGCACCCTCGGGCAGAGGCCAGCAAAACCAGGAGAGCAATCAGAGAAGCTTCCTGGAGGAGGCGATGTCAAATTGGGCCTGGAAGGATGAGGAGGGTTTACATGTGTGCACATCAGGGTGCCGGGAGGACATTCCAAGCAGAAGGGAGAAAAAGTCACTGAGCACCCACTATGCAGGGCTGTTCTCACGGTTACCTGGCTAGTTCCCCCCACAGTCTGTATCACACTTGAGGGAACTGAGGCTCAGAGAGGCCCAAGGTTACTGAGCATGTAAGTAGCAGATGGAGGATTTGAACCCAGATCTTCCTGTCTCCAAAGCACAGTGCTTCCCCTGGATCAGGAAGAGTTTGAAGTCCTGGGATTTCAGGTTTGGAAAGGATAAGGGTCATCTGGGTCAACCTCCATCCAATGTCCAAATCCCCCCACAGGCCCCCGACAGTCTCCCAGCCCTGCTCACTACCTTTGCGTGAGCAGGGGTATCTGATACAGGCTGATGAACTTTAAAAAAATCTATAGGTTTTTTTCTGATCATAGAAGTAATACCTGCCGATTGTTGGAAAACATAAATCACTTGTGATGGTTGCACAAAAATATATATGTGCTGAATACCACTGAACTGTACACTTAAAGATGGTTAAGATGGTAAATTTTATGTTGTGTGTATTTCACCAAAAAAAAAAAAATTGGAAAAGGAAGCACATGTGATCCCACCACTTAGGGAGGGCTGCTATCTCCTACCAGCCTTTTTCAAAAACATGTGATGCGCTGAGACATTTTAACACGTGGGGGCACGTGGTGGACGCACGTGGCCACCTGCCCTCCTCCCTCGAGCTCCCTCTGCTTGCTCACCACAGGGTCTGGCAGGCAGGGTCTGGCTGGCGTTAAGCTTCACCTTCCAGCTAATGGAGCCTGAGCATTCAGCACCCGCTTGCCCTGGTTTGCCAGAACTTTCCTGGCTTCAGCACTGATAGTCCCATGACCTGGGAGCCCCCCTGTTCCAGACAGACAAGACGGTTGGTCACTCTATCCAGGACTCCTGTGCTCCCCAAGACCCCTTCTGCCGCCCTGTAGGGCGCTAACAACGTGAGCACTTGGGCTTGCGATTTTGTAAAACTTGTAAGAGAAAGATCTTTTTTCTGTTATTTTTTTATTTGAAAGTGGGTCCCCAAACCATGTAAGCTTCAGGGAGTTACCAAACCTGGACCTATCCTGGAACCTGAGCCCCCAGGCCTGCAGGACCCCTTATCTCTTGACCGAGGCTTTCTCAACTCCTCTCTGCCCCTGTGTGCCCTACATCACCTCCCCCCACCCCACACACACACCTGGGGGGGTGGTGATTACTCACTTCGGGAATTGAGGAATGGACCCTGAGGGTTAAGGTGGGGAGGGAGCTGGTGAGCCCTCTGGCAGATCCCAGCTTGGACCCTTCCTGCCCTGGGCGAGGAGGTGATGGCTAAGTTGGGACAGTGTCCAGGGTGAGCTCAGAGCTGCCTCCTCTGACCTGGGTTGGCGGGGAGGTGGGCTGTGCTGGCCGGGGGCCAGGAGATCTGGCACCAGCTGTGGCCACCCCCTCTGCCTCTGTCTCCCCATCGGAAAGCGGAGGCTGGGCTGGATCAGAGGTGCCCAATCCTGTCCCGATCCTGCAGCCTGTCAGTGACCCCTTTCTTTACCTGGAGCCAGGTGGGGGGAAGTGGAGTTTCAGCAGGGAGCTAGCTGATTTCATATAAAGGACTACCTTCTATTTGGAATTTACATCCTTTTAGAGCTTTGAAATGACCTATGGGAAAAGAATATTAGCACTGGTAGATGAGAGGTTTTCTTTTTCTTTCTTTTTTTTTTTTAAATTAATGCTCTGTTTTGGCAAAAATAAAACAATAAAATGTTGGAAATTTTGCCATTTTCAGGGTTGATCTCTTAAGGGCTTTGGCTGTAACACTCAGGATGTTGTAAGGAGGGTGGGTGTCATCCCTCGCATGACAGAAGTCAGGGGCAGGCTGGAGGTGACTGACTACTGACTAGAGACAGAGCTCCTGGGCCCGGGACTGTCAGAGCCGCAGTTTCAATGCAGTCCACTGGGTCCACATTCAGTGTACTCCCTGTGGCTTCCCTGTCTGAGTCGCAGTGGCACTAAGGAGTGGCTTGAGGGAGCGGTTTTACACCCTCATTTTTATCAGACCCCCTCAATCACTCCAAGCAGACACTGAGTACAAGAGCCGAGCTTGCGGGACTTCCCCGGCGGTCCAATGGTTAAGAGTCCGCGCTTCCACTGCAGGGAGCGCGGATTCAATCCCTGGTCGGGAATTCCCGACGCTGCGAGGCTCAGCCAAAAAATAAAAATAAAAAAGCTGAGTTTGCTTTGCAGACGCAGCAGCTTCGAAATGAGACCCCTTGTCTCCGTTCCCAGCCAGATTGCCACACTCTAGCTGTCCCACATAGAAACTCTAGAGCCTGCAGGGGCTGGGGTGAAATGGGTCCAGGGTGGAGACAGAGCCTCTGGCCAGCTCTGGCATTCATTCATTCATTCCACAAATACCAAGTCCCTGCTCGGTGCCAGCCTGTGTGTCCCACCGGAGATGCTCTAGGTCAGTGAGAACAGAATTGAGTCGACAGGCACCATCCAGAAGGCTTGGGATGTGATGAGAAGGAAATCCAGTGGGGAGTAGGTACCTCTGCCAGGGGGCGTGGAGGGCTTCCAGGGGGAGGTGACCCCTGTGTTGGTCCTAATAAAGAAGGTGGGGGTGGAGGTGCATTCCAGGTGGGAGGAACAACATGTATAAATAAATACTTGGGGGCACAAGGTCTGAGTGGGTTTTAGAAACGTTGCTGAGCTCCTGGGGCACCCGGGTGTGTGAGTGAGAGCAAGTCAAAGAGGTGTGGGGGGCAGGCAGGGTGGGCAACCCAGGGTCGGCCTTGGGCGCCAGTTTCACAAGCTGGGCTGCATCGGAGGGCCATGGACGGCCTCAGAGAGGGGTTTTAAGCAGAGAAGAGGTGTGTTTTCGGAAGTTCCCTGCGGAGCCATGTGGAGGTGTGGCTTGGGGAGGGCTCTGGGGACAGGAGGCCCAGCAGGAAATGTGTGGTGTGGTCTAGCCTGTCCTCTCCCAGCGCCAGGCAAGGCCCTGCCACTTACTCAGGGGGCTGGGTCCACGCAGGCATGTCCTGTGCTCCTTTGGTGTGTATCGCTGACAGCCTCAGAATCTTCTTGTCCTCTTCGCCTGCCTGTGACC